TATCATATATTCAGTTTTACATAATAATCATTATGAATTTGTAAATAATAATATAGAAGAACATAATGACAATATATTACAGATTTCGAATGTAGACAATATAAATGATAATAACAATAATGAAGAAGCATTTATTAATGCCATAGCTGAATGGAGTATAAAGTACAATATTCGCCATAATGCATGTAACTCATTATTAAATATTTTACAGAAATATACATCCTGTAATTGTTTTAAAGATGCGCGGACATTGTTGAAAACTCCCAGACAAACAGAAAATTTAAAAATATGTGGAGGTGAATACTTTTATTGGGGTTTAAGTTCCATAATTAGAACCATGCTATTGAAATGTAATAATGAATATATTCGTTTATTAATTAACGTTGATGGTCTTCCGTTGGCAAAATCATCAAACGCATCGTTATGGCCTATTTTATGTTCAAATACAACGAATAATGATGTGTATCTTGTTGGTGCATTTTTTGGATATAAGAAACCTGAAAATTCAAATATTTTTTTACAACCTTTAGTAAATGATTTAATTTATTTGATAAACGAGGGTTATTTTTATAATAATAAAGTAATAAAAATTAGTTTGTTTGGTTTAATATGTGATGCACCAGCGAAATCTTTTGTATTATGTACAAAAGGCCATACAGGATTTTATAGCTGTACAAAATGCACCATCAAAGGAGAATATGTAAACGGTAGAATTTGCTTTCCAAGTGAAAAATTATATCCTTTAAGGACAGATGAATTGTTTGATATGCAGGCTTACAAAAATTTTTAAATCGATTTTAGTATTTTGAATAATATCCCAGGGTTCTTACCTATAACTAACACTCCTTTAGATTATATGCATTTGGTATGTTTGGGTGTTTGTAAAAAAATGATTCTACTTTGGATAAAAGGACCGCTACGTATACGTTTAAACAGAAGAGAATTAAATAAAATATCACATCTCTTACTTTTAATAAAAACTTCAACTCCAAAAGAATTTGTTAGGAAGCCAAGACCTATCAGCGATATTAAACATTGGAAAGCAGTAGAATTTAGATATTTTCTTTTATATACAGGACCTATAGTATTACGTCGTATATTAAAAAATGATTTTTATAATCATTTTCTCACACTCCATGCAGCTATGACAATTATTACGTGTTCAAACTTATGCCAAGGATATTTTTTAAATTTTGCTGAAGCTTTACTTCACAATTTTGTTATGACTTTTGAAGCATTATACGGTAAAGAATACGTATCGCATAATGTTCATAATTTGGTACATTTGTGTTCTGATGTTCGAACATTTGGTTCAGTAAATAATTTCAGTGCCTTTCGTTTTGAAAACTTTATGACAAGTATAAAAAAACAATTGAGGAAAAATGAAAAGCCACTGCAGCAGTTAATAAAGAGATACAAGGAGATTGAACACGTATCGTCATTGTTATTAAAAAAAAATTCCAATAATGAAAAATTATATATATGTAAGGGTTTGCATAATAATGGACCAGTATGTGATAACAATGTTAAATCACAATATCTGCAAATATCTAATGATCAATTTTATATAAATTGTAAAAGTTTTGCTAATAATTGCTGTATTTTAAAAAATAATACGTGTATTCTGGTTTTAAACATAGTCAACGATAAAAATAATGATACATTTTTTGTTGGTAAGAAGTTTTCATAAGTAAAAGATTTGTATGCTAAACCTTGTGAATCAAGCCAATTCGGCATTAAAGTGATGACTATAAGATGCGATAATATATATTCTTGGTCAATTACGGAATTACTATGCAAAGCATGGAAAATTCCGTTTGGAAATGATTCAAACATATTTGCAATATTTCCTTTGAAGCATGTACTTTAATATACAGTGCACTTTTATTTTGAAACATTTCTTATAAAACTTCTTTATATGTATACACAAATACAATATTGTTTTAAACATGCTGCCAGAAGAATGAACTGTGGATATATAATTGCTGAATTTCATGATGGACTACAAATAATACCATCAATATGGTACAATGCAGACAACCAATCATGTTTTTGGCCTAGTCATTATAAAACTAAACTCCGTATTAATACAGCAATAATAAAACAAGAAGTACCAAGCAATGAATCAGATTAGGAAGAACTACCTATAGAAAGAATGTTTGGCGTAGCAGGTAAAAATAAGTAACATTTTCTTTAATATGTAAATATAAGTATAGGTTATTTATGTCATATATTTTTTGTTTCAAAGAAACTTATAAAAAAGCACTTCAAAAATTAATCACTGCGCAAGACACATCTAATATAGAAAATGAAGTTTCATCCGATGAGTTAAAAAAAAGAAACAAACAAAAACGACGCACAAATGCAAAGAAATACGTTTCATCTTCTTCAGAGGAAGAGAATAAAGAAAATGAACGGATTCAAAAGAAGGAACAGCTACCTCCTCTTCCACAATTACAAGATTTTATGTCAACTACACCGATAATAAATAAAATTGCTAAAAATATTGAGACATCACATAAAGGAACTTCTATTAACAAAAATAATAGAAATAACAGTAAATAGAACTATAAACCTTATTATTAACTATTTGTAAATAATTTGTACTAACGTTTATGCTTTCTGTCTCTTTCTTCTGTACATAGATGTTGACAAACAATGTATTCCAAATGTGTCAGAATATTCTCAAAAAACTGTTATTGATGTAGATGAAGATAACTCTATTTCTCCTGGTACATGTCTTGTTAATCCTAATTTTTTTTTTCCTATGTTATTATAAAAGCGATACAGACAAATGTATTTTAAGTATAATATTTTGAAGAACTTACGCACGCATGCACGCACACGCCCACACGTACGCATACACACACACACACACGCGCGCACGCACGCACGCACGCAACTACTACAGTCTCACATAAAAATTTATTCAATAATTTATTAAATAAAAATTCTTTTTCAGAATATATGAAGCAAATTATATTTAAATTAAACAAAGTGTTATATAAAGTGGACACAATACAATATAAAATTGATTTACTTGATCAGAAAATATCGGAGCCAATAAATATAGAAGAAGAATTGGATATTAAGTTGCCAATATCATCAGAGGAAGAATTACAATTATTTGAAAAGCAGTTGGAGGAAGACAGATTTAGGAATCAAGTGGTATAATTTAACATCTGCTATTTTTTGTACTATATCAGTATTAGTATACATACTCTGACAGGTATGTGTAAATGCGGGCCAATATTTGCCTAATGAGGTTTCCTTGTTTAATGCCTTATATTCAGTCGACCCATATATACCTAAGGCTCGCATTTGTTACGTTTGCTACAGGGTGGGTCATATTGGCAACGATTGTAAAAGCTCCAAGCCTAGATGCCTTTATTGCGGAGGAGATCACGACAAGCTAGTTGAATGCGAGAATAAGCATAAAGCCAAAAAATGCATTAATTGTGGTGGTGATCACTGGGCCACCTCTTTTGTGTGCCCTATGATAATAAGACACAAAGAAGTGATTAACCTTGCAGCACAAAAAAACATTCCCCATGTCGAAGCTAAAAAGATAATTAAGTATAATAATGGTGGTAACGTTTCTAATCTTGCAGTAAACCACCGTAATTACCCCTACCTGCGACAACGTCCCTCTGAGCTTCAGCAGAATCATGGGGGTTTTACTTCATACAACATTTTCTCGCCTCTGGAAAGTTCGAGCTCTCCGTCGTCATCTAGACCGATGAATTACGCAGATGTCACAGCAAACTCCACTCACGACGCACGTGACACGCAAGACCTCTGAGCTTCAGTAGAATCATGGGGGCTTTACTTCATACAACATTTTCTCGCCTCTGGAATGTTCGAGCTCTCCGTCGTCATCTAGGCCAATGAATTACGCAGATGTCACAGCAAACTCCACTCACGACGCACGTGACACGCAAGGTAAACCATCAAGAAATAAACCGATGAGCTCTCAGCACAGCCCACATCCGCGTCCGGGCACAACTGGTGAGTCGATTGCTAATGTTTATCCACCAACGAGCAATAAAAATGTGTCCTCTGCACCTTCACGTCCCTATAACAAATATGGCCGCCGCATCTCCTCTCATGGACATAACCAACCCCCACCGTCCAACTTCGGTGATACAGGCTCGAACCCTGGATCCGAATCAGTGGGCAGCATTTTCGAAATGATTTTGGCTTTCCTAGACAAAATCAAGAATCTGTTTAATAACAGCCAATTTATTTCCTCTATAATTAACCCCTCCATGATGGTCGAACAAATGCCAAGAGGCTATAGAAACTCGTCGAGCGGCTGCTAGAGAGTGGCAAAGTAACCCAACAATCCTAAACTTCCTTACATTTAAAAGAGAAAGATCCAAATGCTCCAAAACACTATAAGGAAAAAAGGAAAAGTTAGAGAGAATTTGTGGGTACTTTCAATGCAAAAACTCCTTCTTCCAAACTCTGGTCGTTAGTTAAAGCATTCAAACGTCGCAATCTATCAATGTCACGCGAAAACATGGAACTCTTCAAGGAGAGGCAGTTGACCAGTGAGCAATTCAAAAACTATGCCCGCCTTCATGTCTACATAACATTACAACGAGTCTCAGCGATATGAAAAAGGAGGAAGAACAATCGGAAAATATATTCAAGGAGCTCGACACCCCAATCACCACGGAACATCTTAATATGGCAATCTCTCTAGCCAATAACAATTCCGCCCCAGGATTAGATAGAATCAGCAACAATATGCTTGATTACCTTCCGTCTGAATACAGAGAGCTACTAGTCGATCTTTTCAACAGTTTTCTTCAAGAGGGAGTCATCCCCACCGAATGGAGATCTTCTTTAGTAATTTTCATACCCAAAGCCGGTAATTCTGGAATGAGGCCTATCTCTCTCTTATCGTGCATACTTAAGTTATTCGAAAGAATTATATACTGGAGATTGGTGTGGCTGATTGAGTCACAATCAATTCTTCCCAATGAGCAAATGGGCTTTCGTCCCAACAGGTCATGCAATGATAGCCTGGTTACGTTCACGAATCAGATTCTTACGGCAATAGCAAATGGCGAATTTTTTGTTGCAGTCTTTCTGGACATTACAGGCGCTTTCGACAACATTCTGCCCTCAGCTGTGCTTGACGAACTGAAAGATGCTGGCGTTCCGGCTACCATTAGAAAATTTATAGAAAATCTAATCGTCGAGAGATCGGTGCAGTTCTTGGAACAAGGTAATTTGGGCGAAAAACGGATATCGTACAAAGGTACCCCGCAGGGCTCAGTGCTGAGCCCCTTACTTTTCAATATCGCCCTCTGCAAGATTGGATCCTGTATGTCCAGAAATGTACAATTTCTACAGTATGCAGACGACATCGTGATATTTACTTCTCATCGCAACCCCGAGACGGCAGTTGACAGGATACAGACAACCTTAAATCAAGTTACGAACTACGTTGGGACCAAAGGCTTATCTCTCTCCCCCTCCAAGTCAAGCTGGATGATTTTTGCGATCTCCAAGGCACTGCCTGCCCCAGGCTGCTCTCTCTCTATAAACAATCTCCCCATTCCAGAATGGAAAAGGTCAAATTCTTGGGAGTCATACTTGATTCGCAAATTAAAGGGAAACCTGCACTTGGAATATCTTGTGAAGAAAGGAAAGGCTCTAGTCAACATCACCTCTACTCTCACGGGGCTGTATGGTGGGGCTCTCATCCCCACTGTTTACTTACCATATATCGATCAGTTTTTAGGGGAGCTATAGAATATGCATGTTCAATTTTCACATGGAAGGGTAATGCAGGAGTTTTCCATCAACTCGAAAGGTTACAATACAAGGCCATCAGGTTGTCCATGGGATATCGCTTGTCTACTCCTATAAATGTCATGCTGTGCGAGGCGAAAGAATACCCCTTAAGACTGAGATTTAATCTCCTCAGTGAGAGATTTGTCATTAAATGCATGTCTAAGAGGAATCACCCAGTTATAAACAGTATCGAATCTTTGGAATGCAGTCTTAACACCCGTGCGCAAAAGGCTCAGGCTCTGGCAAAGTCTTCCTCGCTGAGATGTTATATTACCAACAAACATGATATCTCACACGTTCATACTTTATTCCTGCTTTCGAGAGTAGTCTGTAGACTTCGTTCGAGAGTAGTCGTAAAATATCATTTTACGTAAACACTTTGAATCTTTTATCTCATGTTCTAAAGAATCCAACGATAATGAAATTATTCAGTCTTTCAACGACAGGCTGCAAGAATTAGACCCATCCGGTCTCACCGTTTACACAGACGGATCAAGGATAACGGAAGATGGATGTGCGGGCGCGGCCTTCTTCTCGCCGGAACTTGGACATTGCTTCAAATACAAGCTGACTCGCAGCGCCTCAGTGTTTACTGCGGAAGCTTGGGCAATATATCAAGCCCTTATTTTGACGTTAGATGCGGGTTATTCTAAGATTTACATTTTTTCAGACTCCCGCAGTGTACTACAAGTCATCTCGTCTCACAGATTGATTAACGGTAATTATATTATCCACAAAATAAAGCAAACTCTGCTTCAATTGGAACACAATAACATCGACTGTTCCCTCTTTTGGATTCCTTCGCATAAGGGCATCTTAGGCAATGAGCTGGCTGATAAGGCAGCCAAAGAGGCGTGTGTTGACGGAGCTAGAGGTTTTTTCCGTACCCCCTACTCAGATCTTCAGGTTCAGGCAGTAGCTAAGGCCCGTGTTCGTTTCACGGATTATTTGAACGACAAGGCTATTCACACCGGAACTCACTACCACTCGTTATATTTCTCGTCTACGACTGTTAAACCTTGGTATTTCAAAAAGAAACTCACCAGGAGCGAAATAGTATTGATTAACAGATTAAGGTCAAATCATTACAACCTCAACTATAGCTTGTTTAGGAAAAATATGGTGCCGTCTCCGGCTTGTGAATGTGGAGATCCTAGACAAGACCTTAACCATACAGTATTCTTTTGCCCCTTTACAAGACGCAGAGCTAGACCACTAGTCCTTTACCTAAATAAAACCTTCCCTTCTCATTCATATAATATTTTGCTCATATAAACTTTGCTTGTCAATCCTAGTCACAAATTTTGCAGACTTCTACTCGCTTTTGCTAAGTCTTTTGATGTACCTATTTAAACCTCGCGCGCTGGGGTGGGGGTCGGGGAGAGTCTCTTTCTCTCCCTTCCCCCCATCCCCCTTGATATATCCCCCCCCGTGTCTTTCTGCGCTTAAGTGCTGTGGAGATCCGCTGGGGGCCGCGTGCGGCGCAAGGCAATTTTTCCGCGTGTGTTTTAGGAGTCTCTTTAGTCTCTCAAGAAATCATCCTTTTCCTTTTCTGGGGACCTCCTGTGGAGAGTTGGTGGTGTCTTGGAAACGACTGGCCACGTTTATCCGGTCACTCCGGAACCTGGGCCATTTAAATTTAGAAGAAGAAGAAGAAGCGCGGCAGATTTCGAATGGAGGATGTGTACTTTCTTTACATCTCCCCCCGCCTGGGGTGAAAATTCTCAATAATGTTGACATTGTCAGTTTAAGCTGTCGTTATTTAATTTTTTTTATTTGTATCTTCTTCGCTCTTTGATGATGGTATTAGTTTTGTGGTATGGAATAGGTTTGTTTCTAGTGGTTTTTCTCCAGTTTTGATTCTGTATATAGAGTTTGATATCTTTTCTATTATCCTAAATGGTCCAATATTTAAATTATCTAGCTTTTTCCTGTTTAATCTGTTTCCATTTTCTATGTATACTAAGTCTCCTGGCTGGAATTCGTAATATTCTCTGCTTTTATCAAATAATTTTTTGTTATAATTGTGTGATTTTATGATTTTTTCTAGGGCTAATTTTCTATTTTCCATCCATTCCTCCTTATTTGTTTTTTTTTTAAATTCTTTTGGTATAATGCTCGTGTCTGAGCCATCCAGTAAGTACTTTGGTGTAAAACCTGTAACTGTATGTTCCGTTTCATTGTATTTGTCTACACATTCTCTAGCAATCGTTGTCCAAGCTTTCTTTTCTTTTTTTTTCATTTATTCTTCATCTTATTTTATTGATTAGTGTTTGGTTCAATCTCTCGTTCAGGCCGTTTGAGAACGGCGCGTTTACGGCAGTGAATATCAGTTTTACATCATTCTCCTTTAGAAACTCTTTAAATTCTTTTGAATTTATTCCTGGGTATTGATCTGTTAGTATTGTTTCAATTTCGTCTGTTTCTAGCACGTTTTTTGTTAATTTAATAAAATCGGTGGCATTTTGTGTCTTTGATGTTGAAATGAATGCGTATCGGGTGAAGTGGTCGACTATCAGGTGGAGGTATTTCTTTGTTGATCTTTGTCCTCCAAAGCCTCCAATAGTATCTATTGACATTATTTCGAACGGTTTTGTTGCTGGTCCCAAGTGTGACATTAAACCGTACTTCTTTTGGCCTCTTGATTTGTTCTTGATGCATATTTCACAATTTTTACATTCTCTTTTGATCTTCTTTGTTAGGTTTTTTGTTGTGTAGTATGGGCATGTCTTATTTATCATTTGTCTAGTGCCTATGTGGAACCATTCCTTATGTGTTTCTTTTATTATTTTTGTACCTAATTCTTCGGATAAGATTTTTTTTTTATTTCTAATTTTTTTATAGAGTATTCCATCTTTTTCTATTAGTTTTGGTCTTATTTTCTGTATTATTTTGTTTTTTTCTTGGTCTATTTTTATTTCATCTATTTTTATTATGTTTACTATTTTCAGTATTTCTTCCTTGTTTTCATCCGGTTCTAGTACTGGGTTTCGGCTTAAACAGTCTGCCTCAGTATTGTCTTTTCCTGGAACGTATTTAATTTGAAAATCGTATTGTGATAAATAATATGTTAACTCCCCTAGTTCTTCATCTGTTCTAGCTTTGATATTTAGATTTTCTAAAGGTTTATGGTCTGAATATACCGTAAATCTTTTTCCAATTAGCCAGTGTTGCCAGTATTGTATAGCTTTTTTTATTGCTAGGCATTCTATGTATATAGCTTTCTTTCTTTTTTGTGTTTCGTTTAGTTTTTTTGAAAAATACGCTACTGGTTTGTCTTTCCCATCTTGTTGTTTTTGTTTTAATATTGCACCGATACCTTCTAGTGATGCATCTGTGAGGATTTTTATCGGTAAGTTATTATCGAATATTTCCAGTATGGGTCTGGAGCATAACAATTTTTTTATTTCCTCAAATGATTTTTCACATTCCTTCGACCACACAAATTTTTCGTTCTTTCTGAGTAATTTGTGTAATGGGTCTAGTATTATTGCACTCTTTGGTATGTATTGATGATAAAAATTTATCTTTCCTAGAAATTGTCGGATATTTTTTTGTGTTTTTGGGGTTGGGAAGTTTTTTATTGAAATTAAATTGTCTTTGAGTGGTCTTACTGTGTTTTTCTGTATTATATGTCCTAGATATGTCACTGAGTCTGCAGCGAATGTGCATGTTTTGAATTTTAATCTGAAGCCTTCTCTTGTAATTGCTTCTAATACTCGTTTTATGTGACTTATATGTTCTTCGAATGATGATGAGTGTATTAAGATATCATCGATGTAGTTCATTGCAAATCGTGTTAATTCATGTTTCCTCAATATATTACTTAAGATTCGTTGAAAAATCGCCGGTGATGTTTTTAGACCGAATGGTAGGCAGGTCCATTGGAAGTGTCCTTCTTGTGTGACGAATGCTGTTTTTCTTCTGTCTTCAATTCGTAGTGGGATTGACCAGAAAGCCGAGTTTATATCTAGTGTTGTGAAATATTTGCAATTTCTAGTTTTTATTATTAGGTCGTCTATTATTGGGAACGGTTGCGCTTGTGGTATTATATTTTTATTTAGATCTCTAAAGTCGATACAAAGTCTTGATTTCTTATTTTCATCTTTTTTAAAAGCTAATGTTACTGGGGCTGCGAATGGGCTATATGATTCTTCGATGAGATTTTTCCTTAAAAGTTTTGTGATTTGTTCTTCTATCTCCATTTTGTCTTCTATTGAGCATCTGTAAGGCCTTTTACTGCAATATTGATCGATTATTAGATCTATTCGTGCTTCGTACTCTTTCATAGTGCCGATATCGTATTTATCTTTTGCAAAAAACCTTTTATATTTTTCTATAATTTTTCTTATTTCGCTTCTTTTCTTTTCATCTAAGTGTTTTATTTTTATTTCAAATTCATCTTCTTTTATGTGTTCATTAAAGTTTATTGCATATGTTTCTATTTCCCTTTTTTTTTGTGTGGGGTTTCTAACAATTTCATTGTCTGTCTTTTTTGTGTTATTATCTTTCCTTTGTTTTATTTCTAAATTTTCATTTTGTATTAATTTAAATTTCTTTATCATATCTAAGCCAATTATGAAATCTTCAAAGTCTTCATTTTCTATAATGAATACATCCATCTCTTCTTCTGTATCGAAGATTTTTACTTTTATGGTTATTAAACCTTCTGTGTTTTTAACACCATTAACTGTTTTTAGAAATATTTTATTCGGATCTTTTCTTTCTTTTATTATTCTTACTAGTTTCGCATTTATAAGAGAAATTTGTGATCCTGAGTCATATGTTCCATTTATTTCTAATTTATTTTCTAATAGCATTTTTACTTTGATTAATGGTGTGCTTATTCGTTTTTTTTGCTCTTTATTCAATTCTACTTCTATCATTGAATTGTTAACCGTCACTCTAGTCTTATTTTTTTCTTTTTCCTCTTCTCTTGTCTTGAACCAGCAGACTTCCTCTGGGTGGTATCTAGTGCCTTTATTTAACTTTTTACACTTTTTACGTGGTTTTTTCTCTTCACTTCTTTTTTTATATTCGAGTCTGTTTTTTGTCTTTTTCGAGGAAAATTTCTTATTTATTAGATTTTCGTGTTTTCTAATTTCGTTAAATAATGTTGTTGAGTCTTCGCATAATTCTCTATCTATTTTGTTCATAATAAACTCTAACAGTCCAACTGTTATTAACGCTGTTAATGTTTTTGTGTCCATCTCTTTATTTATATCTAGCAAAAGTCTTTCTTTTCTCATTGCATAATCGATAAGGGACCCTTCTTTATATTTAAATGACAAAGCATATGTCACTGTGCTCCATCCTTTGTCCGCAAAGGTCTCTAGAAATCTATTTTTCCATTCACTCCATTTGGCAGTAACTGTCAGCTTTGTAAGCGTTGCGCAGTGCCAGTCTGAGCAAGATTTATCCAGAAATAGTCGTAGTATCTCAATTTTTCTTTCATCTTGTGTGATGTCAAATCTTGTGCACTCTTTCTCAAATGTCTCTAGCCATTGTTTGGCATTCGAGTGCTTACTAGTGAATTTTTCAATCATGTACTTTTTCTGCGATTTGTTTTAGATTTTTCTCTTCTTATTTCTGTGTTGTCTCTATCAATTTTTCTAATGTTTTAGTCAGATTATTATCCTTCTCTATTTCGGATATTTCTTCTATAAATATTCACCCGCAAACTGTATATTTCCATCCTCATCTATATAGGTTTTTTCTAACTCTTTTGTCATAGAGATCCAAACTTTTCTTGATTGATGTCTTCTTTTCAAGCTATTTTTTGCTTTGGTATAGTTTTCAGTTTTCATTAATTCTGTATGATTGGCTATGTATCTATTATCTTCTTGCAAGACATACGTCTTTCCATTTTCTGTTCTAATTGAGGTTATGGCAATTATATTTGATTTCTCGTCTCTTGGGGAAGCGATTATTGTGAATTCGAACTGCAACTTATTCATTATGTTGTTTTACAGAAATTGTCGTTTTATAAGCGTCTAACAATATTATTGAGGGTTTTCTTTGAAAGAATAAACCAGAATATGTTTCTCTGTAAAAAAGAGTAAAATTTAATTTTCTTAACAGTTATAGTATTTACAATATTTACAACGGTGTACCTGTAAAAAAGAGAAACCACAATTAAAGTCTATTCTCTATCGTCTTCCTTATCCTCCACTTGCTGATCTATCTTTGTAAGTTTCGCTTATATTATTATTACTATCTCGTGTTTATAATCTATCACGTCTCCTTGCGTCGTTTATCTTCCTGCCCCTCCCTCTAGTGAGTTTGAGGTCTTTCTATGTTGTTTAGCGCGGCAGATTTCGAATGAAGGATGTGTACTTTCTTTACATATATATACATACACAGTCATTCAAATAAGAGCAAGAGTTGGGCATGTATTTAATTATAATTGTAGTTGCAAGAGTATATATGGTACCGCATTAATAAAAAAATAACGTACAGATATTAAGTTATTACTGGACAATTTATAAAGAGAAAGTAAATGTATTGAAAGAAGAAGTGTACTTGAAGTAAGTAAGTAAGTACTTGTAAGTGTACTTGTATCTTTACTTCAAGTTTTTAACAATTCTGTTTTTTTTAGGAGAAACAGACTGTACACTCTTGTGAAACTGATTGTATCTGATTGTATCTCTGATCTGCAGTTTAAATAATAGAAAGTATATGAGGACATTCATTCATTTAAAAAGTGCAATTATGCAACGTCAAAGTTTCCTTCTGGTTATCATCAGTTTTTTTTGCTCCAGTTTAAATATTATAGTTTTATTTTACGTACACGTTAAATTAGTGAGATATGCGTCTTTTTTTTATTTTGTAATTGTTTTTCTTTGTATACTTTCTTTTTATTTACATCATTTTTACGTCCGGGATTTCGTTTGTGACCTCAAATTGTCTTAAGTAATAATAATTACTTAAGATGTGACTTTTAGATGTGACTGACATTTTATAGTTTATCCAATAATTGCGCGCCTGTATTGTTCTAGTACTATGAAAAATTTTCATCAGAAATGGCAATATATATGGCTGCTATTTTATTTGGCGATGAAGATAATTTTGAAGATAATTTTGAACCAAATAATCAAATAATGAGAATTCAGAGAAGAATATTAAGAGATATGTCAGATCCTTTCTCAGTTCCTGAAAACGAATTTCGCAAGCTATATAGGTAAATTTTGATACTTAAATTCCTTAGTGGCAAGATATTATATTACAATACTTGATTTTATATATATATATAATATATATA